TCAAGCCATCCTCTAGACGATTTGCTGGCTTTTTCACTAGTGGTCTTTTCAAGGTCGAGGGCGGAGGCGTGACTGCACTCTAGTCTGACCCAATAGATTCGTCATCCACTTCATTCCTTGACTTTTCTCCCTCTCCACACTGTTTGTTTGGTTCAGTCATTTTTCTACACAGTCCAATATAAAATCTTTGAATCTGTAATTTCTCTTCTTGTATTTTTCGTTTGTTGTGTTCTTTTTGAATAGAATGAAACTATTCAACCGCAAAGACATGTTTTGTCCAAACCATGGGTGTGAAATATGGGCCTAGTGGACAAATATTCTTCAATTTCAGGGCGTTTGTCGATTCCTGTCATGAACACAATTCCTAAGTATGTCCAGATTTCATCTGATGTGACATAATTGTAATTGTGTTTTCGAGCGTGAGGAGCTAACTCATGTGCGTTGAAGTGCTGGTGAGCATAGCGATTGGTTTCAGTTGTGATGTGATTTACCAAGTCGTCATCCAGAAAAAATTTTAATCCATGAAAAGGGATGCATTTTATGTGTTATATCAATTTTGATCCCGAAACTATTAGCAAATGGAAGTATTGGGGGTACAATGTCTCCGTACGTTCATGAGATGGGCGTGTCAGGCACCGCACTCGTGGTAGGTAAATGTTCATGATTACTGTCTTGTGGATCATTGCCTATCACTGTATTATTGTCACTATCAACTTCATCCAATTCAGGAATCATTATTTCATCGCCACTATCATCAGAAAAAATCTCGTTCACAACATTTTCCAGCTGGTCTGTAGGAAAACGAAGACACTTGCTGCAAGAAGCTGTGGTGAAACTGAATGAATGTGAAATATTTTCTGACCTTTACCTTCTCAGAGGGTTCTGACAGTAATATAGACCCCCACAAAGTTTACAAGGGTTCTTTACAAACATGCACAAAAAATATCATAAATATGTCTTTGGTTGATGAGTGCCAAGAGAGCAAAGAAGGGACGAGATTGTCAAAGCGTTAAAACACGCCAACGCCAGGGAACGGCTGGCATCGTCCGGGCGTTAAAACACGCCCGCGCCAGTCAAAGAGTTAACACAGTGTCTTCATCACTTGTCTTTGACTTTCCCATTTGCAGTTAAATGTGGAACATTACTCACAGCAGAAGCTTTTGGTAGCTGTTCTTTTGCTTTCTTGTATTGTAGGTGGTCACTTAAACTCTTTTCTGGTGTACTTCAATCCCCTTTCCTCACTCTGTCCACTTTCTATTTAATATTGCGAGTCATATGCTTCCTGTGTAAGATTCGAGGCTTTCACGGCGGTGACTATGAAGAAAGCAGTCTTCTGGGATTTGGCACCGTGTATATGTGGTGTTAACCGACGTTTCGGAGGAACATATCGCCCCCATCTTCAGGGTAGAAGAAAAAGTATAAGAAATCTGCAAGCGACAACACCGTGAGAAACGGTAAAGCAGACCACAGTCTTTTTCTTCTACCCTGAAGATGGGGGCGATATGTTCCTCCGAAACGTCGGTTAACACCACATATACACGGTGCCAAATCCCAGAAGACTGCTTTCTTCATATGCTTCCTCTCCATATTTCCAGAACCTTGAGAATTTTTACTTAGCCTTGAGGGCTAAAAATATATGACACAAATTAAAACAAATGTTTATGCTATAATGTTTACTAATCACTTCATTTCATTTATAGAGCTCAGCCCTTCTTGAGAAGCCACACAATTGTGCAGCTATTCAAGAACTTCCCAGCATTTTATGGAATCCGAAGGTTCATTACCATGTTCACAAGAGCCCTCCACTGGTCCCTATCATGAGCCAGATCAATCCAATCCATCCCATCCTGTCTCTCTAAGATCCATCTTAATATTGTTCAACCACCTACATCTTTGTCTTCCCAGTGGTCTCTTTCCTTCTGGCTTTCCCACCAATAGCCTATATGCATTCCTCTTCTCCCCCATTTGTGTTACATGCCCTGTCAACCTCTCCCTCCTTGACTTGATCATTCTAATTATACTTGGAGAAGAGTTCAAGTTATGAAGCTCCTCATTATGCAGTTTTCTCCAACCTCCTGTCACTTCATCTCTCTTCAGTCCAAATATTCTCTTCAACACCCTGTTCTCAAACACACTCAGTCCATGTTCCTCCCTTAATGTCAGAGAGAGAGACCAATTTTAACACTCATACAGAATCACAGCCAAAATTATAGTTTTGTATATTCCAATTTTTATGTTTTTACACAGCAGACAAGGCAGACAAGACAGACAAGACCAGAACCTGCTGTGTTCCATTTATTTTCAGCCCCACCTGGTTTTTTTGGCCCTTCCTAATGGCATATTCTAAAGCAAAGTTTAAAAGCAGTGGCAATAAAGCATCCCCTTGTCTTAGACCATTCCCTACATACTTTGTCATTGAGATCTCCAAACACTATTTTCATATTGTATTTTGGAAATTTATCTGATATTGTAAATCTTCTTACAACCTGTCCTTTATATCATCAATTTTATCTTCTGTTGGGGCATGAACATTCAGAACAATAATATCACACCAATGACCTCCTACTGTGACGAACTCTACCCTCTTAACCACTGATATGATTCTCTTATGTACAAAGAAATCCGTACCTAATTCATGATTTTCTTTCCCCTATTCACAGAAAAATGTACATTCACCTGCTGATTCAGTGCCACCTCCTCCCCATTTGACCTCCTGTACTGTGACTGAATCTAACTTATATTTTGAGATTTCTTCCACCCCTGCCCTGAGCGAACCTGCCTTATACATACTTCTGACATTCCAAGTACCAAACCTCATATCCATTTTCTTTTTCTTAGGTCATTTATCCAAGGAATCAGTCCAGGTCCAAGGCTTCTTGTGATATTTCATAATAAGCATATTTTTTACATTGAAGAGATATAATCCCCATGCCCAACCCCCAGGCTGGAGGACCACCCTTTGTTGGCTGTTTGCGACTGCTTGTTCAATATATTCGCAGCTACCCTCCATAACTGGAGGACATGTCCTCCTTCCGCAACCTGAGGACGCGCCATGCCGTGGTGACAAGGGACCTACCTAACATGGAATGTTTACTAATCTGACCATCTAAATCACAAGCAGCACAGATTACAAAATAATTCTGTAATATGGAAGCGTGCTTGCTGTCCTATCTTATGTGATTGTGAGGCCATAGCTTATTTAATATTTTGTCACCTGGGCCAGTTCTTTATGGAACCAAGTGACTATTATGATGCCCCTATAAACAAAGTCCTAAATTGCATTCAAAGTGTATAATTAATAAAGGGTTAATCAAAGGGGAAGCACAATAGATCATTGAAGGTCACGGTGCAGGGGCCAGATTTTATGACCCACTCCTTATACATACATGCTTGCTGCCCTATTCTACAGCAGCACCTCTATTGCAAAGCAGATACTTTTTGATTCACCCTCTAATGCACAGAAAGGATAATGAACATACAGGGTATTCACAGTGTTACAAACAGCAAGTAGTGTCAGAAGAACCGTGAGATGAAAGCACAAGTCATGTATTATGTACTAGCTCCTGATGGAGCCATTGAACACTGCAACTACCAAAAGAGTCAAGTTAAAGTAAGGACGATGAATTTTTTTTTTATATCCAGCAACAGCCAATGAACTCTATTAGCTATGCAAAATAGCTAACAGATAGAAGCATTTTTATTGGCATCCATTCATAATTAATCAACAATATTTCCATGAGAGATGGTACTTGTTGTTACATAACAGTGACAGAGATCAGGTTTTATTTTATAGATGTCAGAAGATCATTTCCTGATCTACAGGATGATAATGTAATTACTACGAGATAACTCTCAAACTCACTTTAGTACAAAATAATAAATTTAATGCTACACGATGTGAGTAAATTTATCTTTCTGTGGCGTATGGTGCAGATGGTCCAGCGAACATACTCAGTGTTCCACATTGAAGGGTTAAGCAGCTTTCTCCAGCTTTGTGTTTACTCCTCTTAAGCACAGATATTTTCCCCAGTAATCTTGTCTCAAATGGCCTTAGTCTTTGTTCTTCCTTTAACATGATAAACTAAATTTCACACCCATACAAACTATAGGCAAGTTTATAGTTATGTACATTTTAATTTTCCCATTTCCAGTAGCATATAAGAAGAAAAAGATTTTGTACTGAACAGTAACAAGCATTCCCTAAATTTAATATGCACTTCATTTCTTCATACATGCAGTTCTAGTTTGTTAATGTTGTTCTCAAATATTTTAACTTTGCCACATTTGCAGTGGATTTTGTTCTCTTTTTGACCTGCATTCTGGCAGCACGATATAAACATGTACTTGGTTTTCATCATTATGTACATATATAAGTTAAGCTTTTATTGTAGCAGAGTATGATAGTATTTCTTCTCTCAGTTTATTTATAGAGAATTGTTGTAATATGCCATATTTCACAGCATAATTGACATACTTACTGTCCTTGCACCCCTCTCCCCCAATATTTTTTGGTAAAAAAACTTGGGTGTGTGATATACATGAGAACTTGTGTAGCCTTGTAGTGTTGATCTGTTTGCCTGAGGTAGTGTCCATGCAGATGTAACTGGTTGCAAGAGAGGCCGTATTTTCTTCATTTAACTTTTCATGTATGTATTAACTCAGTCATCATGTCGAACCCATCAAGTTTCTTTGCACAGCATCTCATCTTCACGTAACTTCACACCACAGACCTGATGACACTACAGAAGATTTTTGACAAATCGTTGTGAGTGCATTGACTTCCTGCCTGCTCTCCCACAGTTTCCTTGCTTTGAATTTTATACCTGCTCCTGTCCTGTTCAACTTTGTGTTGGATTTTGTTTTCCACATGTAAGAGTATATTGTATGAAATATATAGGAATTGTATTTGTTTTAATATTGCAACAAGAAATGTAGGTCTGATGAAATGCAGTGCTTGTTCATATGGCTGCAGTATCTTATTCACATGTTAAATGTAACAGATTTCAAAGATGGAGCATCAGCAGCAGCAACACCAGCAGTATGTTACTTTGGAAGGGATTGACAATTCTAATGCACGTGCTCTAGCAGTCAAACTCATCAATGTATTGCTAACTGTTCTTCAAGTGGTCTTGTTGCTGGTTGCCACAGCAGCTGGAATTGTGATGCCTTTCCTAAGAACACGGTAATGGTCATTTCTACACTGATACGTAAATAGTTTGGTTTCAGTCTTCTGATGTTACTTTTTCACTCAAAAATATATGACACTATGATATTACATTGTTTTCATCCAGTCTGTCACATTTAGAGAAGAGGATTTACCTTTCAAGATGGGAGTTTTAATCACCACTTGACAGCTGGATGGAGTTTAAAGTGATAGTGTAAATTTCTGGATGCACCGCACCACAAAAAATAGTATATCCACTGTGTGTTTATGAATCTCATTAAAAATGTGTCATATGTTAAAAATATCGTTTTTTTTGGCTGATTTGCATTAATTTGCTAGTTACAAATTATAAACTTTACAACATGAAGATTTATTTAAAATATGATTGCGGTGGGCCTTTCCCCCAGATTTCATTAATTCAAGGTTCAGAGATGTAATGAAATTCATAAAGGCATCTGTGTTTGTTTGTTGATGGCCTTGTTAGCCATATTATTGTCAAAGGAAAGTGTGTGTTGTTGCCTACATGCTGTGACTTTACTTTGGTTTCCAGTTGTTTAATTCCCAGAACTGAACGCTAGATTCTAGCGGCAATGACGTGTGTGACAAAATGCATGTAGAGAGAAAAAAAAGAGGGTTTCTTAGAAAACTTCTAGTGATCACTGATTTAATTTGATTTAAAATTATACTGTTAAGCAAAATATTACATGGAATGGCAAGCTTTCTTTCCAATGACAACTCATGTTGACTTTGCCAAGGAGATCTAAGTGTTACGAATGAAGGTTGTACTTTTCAGAAGAGGGTGTTGTGAATTGGCATTGAAGGTGGTCAGTCACAAGTTGTGCAAGGGAGCTGGCAGTGTGGGTAACGTAGAGTGATTTGTTGCTCTAGCAAAGGATCTAAGGAAGCGTAGCATACACTGTGTTCATGTGTATTTATACATTTCTTGTGAATTAAAGAGAAATTTGTCTTCAGGACTTCAGAATTCAAGATACCTAGTTGGGCATTGCTTCTGAATCTTGCATTCCTGCCACAGAGGCAGATCATCGTCCAAATGTGCATGCCAGCCTCAAGATAATCTCATAGTTCCTGCTGACCTAAGTGATCACATTGAAACTTCACTGTCAATGTAACCGAATGCCTCGCCAAATTGTGGTCACAGGTCCACCTTGTATTCCACATTTGTCTCTAAGTATGAGTTTTACATAGCTGCACACACTGTATAACTTCATTAATGAAAAATGCAGTTTCATTACACCACACTACACAGGACTAGAAATGAAGTTTCTATTTTGCTGCATAGATCATATAACAAACTCATCACAGTTGGCAACAGTAAACTGTTACAATCAGAAATGAGCGGCCTCCATAGTCTAGAGGTAACGTTCCCACCTCATGAATAGTACGCGGGTTCAAATACCCGGCGGAGGTCGTCAAATTTTTAAGGGTGGAAAAATTCAGGGAACAAGTCCTCCGGGAGGGACTTTAAGCCGTGGGTCCCGTGTCGTAGCTTTACGGCACGTAAAAGAACCTCATATCTCCAAAGGAGGTCACTGAGCCAAATTACGGACGTTTCCTGCCCAACAGCAGTCTCTAATACCTCCGGTAGATGGGGGAAGCATTATAGATACCTCTCAGCTAGTAGAGCTGGTCTCGCTGGCTGGGCAGGACTGATGGTAAGCACCAGTACCGGTAGGATATAGAAACTGGTAGAAATCATAGAGGGAAGCACAATGGACCAATACAGGTCTCAGTGCATGGGGAAACCCACCCTCTCCAATAACTAACTAACTACAATCAGAAATGGGATTTCGTGTCCCATAGCTTGGAGCGTGTTTCAGTATACAGATCACAGTCACAATTGTATTCAGTACAGTGTTCTTTAGTTTGCTTCATTTGGCACACGTTACAGGGACCCTCTTTCCTTTGACTGCCAGTGCAAGAAATGTTTCACTTCAGAGCTCCACATTTGAGTCTCTGAATTGCTGGGTCAGTGCTTTGTCACACCATGCACTTCAGAATCTCCTTCATTGAATAGAACAGTGAGATCCCTATACAGCTGCTCCCTAAATTGCAGTTGGGTTATTTCTCCTCCACAGGACTTGCAAATATGTGAATTCAGAGAGATATTTTTCTGACAGACGGCACTGTAATGCCATTATGAATACAGAGAGGTATTTTTCTGACAGACAGCACTGTAATGCCATTCTGGAAATGATTTATCAGAAGGATGCAAGCTGGAACATTGTTCAGAATCTCACTTTCTGGCCATCAGTATAAATTGAACTCCTGAGGTTGATAGACCCTGTAATGGCAGGACTGAAGTGTATACTGTAGACCAATGTGTGAAGGAAGCAGGCCACAAACTTGTAAGACTGCCACCTCATCTATATAACTTCAGCCCTATGAAGTTGGTGTGGAGTCAGCTTAAGGGACATGTGATTAGACATAACATAACCTTGAAACATCAGAAGGTACACTAGTTTGTGGAAGCAGGGCTAGGAGAAGTCACTACTGAGGGATGGCAAGATGCTATTCATCACAGCATCCAGGAAGAGCAAAGGCTGCGGAAATTGGATGGCTGTACTCACAACACAGTGGACCAACTTGTAATAAATGTTAGAGGCTATGAAACTTCCAGTGAACACTTACACTGTCATTGGTTTCTTCATAATTATATTCACATTACGGTGCAAAATGAGAAAGTAAAAGGTTACTTCTTTCATATGCCTTACCACTTGACAGTGCTACTTTCAACATGGTGCAGCATGAAAGAACAAAATAATGTTTTGCAACATCTCTAGGAGAAATTGCAGTTAATGTAGGCAAAAGCTTATGCATATCATCAATAGATGTCATACTCTTCCAGGATGAAGATTTTGGCTTAAATGCAAGTCACAGTACTGCAAAGTTTGAACTCAACATTGCAAGTTCTGCAGAAACTGACTGTTAGCACACCTTACAGCGTTTCAAGCTTTGCAGCAAAAGAGTTAAAGTAACTGGTCACACTGTATTTCCATAGTATTGTGTAGAGTATACTGAAGAGCAGCAAATAATAATCTCTAACTTTTGAGGTATGGCAGGATACTTTCCTTACACTGATCTTCCTCACATTAAATTTGTCCAGACCAGAAGAGCATTGCTTCGAAACAACTTACATGTGTACAAGTAGCATGGAAAGGGTTAAATATAGTACTTTGAATAGTTGGTGCACTGGGTTTAATTGCATCTTTGTACCCTGTTCCAGTCTGCGGGTGCTGACTACAGTTCTTCTGGTTGCTGGCATTGTGTTTGTGTGGAAGCAGTGGCCTGAAGTAAGAGATGTGGGTAGTCACTTGATCCGTCATTTGAAACAAGCATTATCTGTTAAGTAGTGTTATGTACTCTTTCATGTTCGCTGGTTGCATGGTATCAGTTCACTCGAGTAGAGAAGAGCTTTCGCATTGCTCCCTGCCATCTGGTGTGCAGGTAGTAAAGTGTATCAATGTCATAACAATATTCTCCTGCCAATTACTAGCCTTTTGCTGCAGACTGTTATAGAGAGATTGAATAACACAGGGGCCCCTGTGTCCAAGGTAAGATCCTGAAGGTGTTGAAAATCAGATGTTGTGAATGGTTGTGCCATCTCTCAACATATATATGTGAATTAATTGCATTAATGAACAATCCTTTAAACATTAGCCCGACTGAAAATGACAGAACATGCCTGTGCAGCTCAGTCAGTTCAATGCATTGTAAGAACATCAAGATTGTGTATCAAGTCAATTAGCGCTGACCTCTGGCCTCCAGTCTGAGATGTTGATTGTACCTTGGAGTGGGCCAATAATTATCATTTGATCATTAGGCAATATACAGTATTACTCAGACTCTTCTCTGATATTAGTGGAGATCAGCGTTCCATATATTTCTGACAAGTCCCTTGCAACAGAATCTAATCACTTGAAACAAGGCTGGCCCAGGTTTGTACTCTAGTAGCAGGCCATGATAATCCCAGTTAAGCTCCTAAAGTTATTATTATTACTATAAAATCTTCAGAATTCAGATTTATTTGATGTTCTGAAGTGAAATAAATTACTTTATTAAGAATCTGAAAGTTGGCAGAATTGTCATTTAGAAAAGAGGAACAGAATGACCATTTCACTTTGGTATTGAAATCTTACTGTATTTAATCTTACAAAAGAAGAGATTTTATTCTTTTATTTAGCAGGTGAAGAAACAGTTTAAAACCATAGACAAAAAAAAAGAGTCCTTCACTAGAACATATGTTGGTCTGAACACAAAAACACTGTAAAGATAAAAACACAAAGTTTCTAAATGAGATTTGGGGTTCTTATGGCAGTGAAGATCATCAGGATATGTATGTATTCTTATATATTCTTACCATCACTCTGCAAGACCCTGATGCTGCCATCATCACTCTGGAACAAATGATATACATTTGCGTGAAAAGGAGTGTTGGGACTAGGCTGTTACCAATTCAGTGGGAGCCATTTTCTTGGAAAGGGACTATTTTTCGAGTGGGGGCAGGGAAAAAGAAATGTGGGGGAAATATGGAAGCAGTGGAAGAGGAAGTAGGTGGGTGGGAAAAGGGAAGAAACGTAAGTGAATGGAGAAAGAATTAGTATTATGTAAGAGAGGCTGGGTAAGAGGTGGAAGTGAAAGCAGGAAGGTGGCCCTAAAGAAGGCTCAGGCCAGAGATATTCAAGTCACCACTAGTGCTTAGAGATGGAAGGAGCAGGTTTCGCTAAACATTGGTGACCGCCTCCAAACTGCATATTGTTACATATGAGAACATAACTGTCTTCGTTAACTCTTTAATTTGAGTCTGGCTTCCCAGTAACACGGAGAGAGCAGGCAAGTATTTTTGCTCTGAACCGATTTCAGTATTCTGATTGTTCGGTGCATAAAAATGAGTCTAAAAATTCCAATTCTTTATAAATGTGAAGCATCCCCAGGTGAGCAGCAGACAATTTAGATCCTCTTCATGTCCAGACTTGTATTACAAAATTTCCTGTTTACTTAAGCACCACAACATGAAGGCTTAAAAGAGGGCTTTCCTAACTATAACACTAGCTGGAGTTATGTTGTGAGCATCATGTCCTGGCCACTACTCCTGGGGAAAGAGGCACATGGTGTCTATTGTGTAGGAGGCGAGATGGACTTAAGTGCAAATTTTGACATGGTGACAAAGGAAAATATTCTTTCCCCTGCCAGAAATGTAACCCCAGCCCAAAGAGCATGCCATAAATGTGTATGGGGATGGTAGGAGTATAGTTCCACATTTTATTAACTTCTTCATTCATTATACACTGGCTGCTTCACCAGCAGGGAAGAAGTCCCTAGTATCCATCTGATAGGAGACTGGTAGTGTCTTGATGTGGTGTTCTTGCCAGGGATTGAACCCGAGATGTGCAGTCATAACCAGTTTGCTGATTGAGCTGTTCTAGCTTGAAGAGGATAATTCTGTCCTTGCTAGGGACTGAACCTGGGTTGTAGTCCATAGCCATTTTGCTGATTGAGCTGCTGTGGCTTAACACTTGTAGTGTCTGACAGTCTTGTTTTAATGTAATACACAGGAGTCATGGAAAGCCTGCTTAATATCAAAGACTAAATGTAAGTCAGGTATGCATGAAGATGGTGCTAGCCAGTATGGAATAACATCTTCAGCGATGCAGCAAAACAGGGTAAAGACATGATTGATCTCAAGAATCTAAATGCAACCAGTTTACAGTTGAGTGTGTGATAGTTACGTATGTTCATAGCCATGACAAGACTCACTCCTTTTGCATGTGCAGAATGTAGTGGCAAGAATTATATATCACAAAATGTGGTCTTTGTATTAGGCGTTAGTGCAAGTGACTCACAGGGGTTATTTGTTTTTATGCAGGTGAGGCTTTGATGAGTTGTGATGAGGACTGTGCAGAGAGTGTATTTTAGTTTCCCCTTCAATGTATCATTCCATTCATGACTGAAAAAGGGCAGAACTGCTACTTTGTAATAATTGTTCATTTTTACTGAAACTGAAACTTGTATGATAATTTGCTGTGTCACATTGATGCCGTAGTTACTGTTTGTGATGAAATAAAGACTAGAAGTGTTTAGAATTGTATGCACCACTCTAAAAATTAGGGGATACTTATTTGTATTAGCTGTGTATATGAAGTGATAGGAAGTAGAGATGAGGAAAGGTCAACAACCATCTTCCTTTCATTTTATTAACAAAAAAAGGCAACGAAATGAATCTCAAATGAAGATATTAACATTTCTTAATTAAGGGCAATCACGTTTCAAGTTCAAAATGGACTTTTCTCCTTTAAAATTAAAATATTTGTCTCCACTATAAATGTCTCTCTTAAGGAAATTGTGCGCACCAGTAAATACACATATATGAGCACTAAATTTTGTGTAGTAAAAAGATGTCTTCCCTAATTTTTAGTAGATTGTATGATTTTGTTATGTGATGTATCATCACAAAATACAACAATTATTACAGTGCTGCAAACATAAATGCACGCACAAAGACCACCATATGACAGACTGATTGCTGAGTTATGTCAACATAAAGGACCCCTAAGAGTTACAGAATTATATGGAGGTTTTATTTCGTGTGTTTATGTAATGTACTGTATATGTGTATAGAGAATGAAAGAAAGTGTTGCAGACTAATGACAAGTGAAGTCATTTTGAAAGTCTGGTTATGAAAATTATAAACCAATGCATAGTGTTTTAACTACACTGAAAGTTTGTACTCTGGTGTAATTTAGTGATAGTACACAGGATTATATTGGTGGCTGCAGAATTTATGTACTGGCTTGGACACTGTGGTCATCAGAAGTTAATAGTAACACAAAATTAATGTACTGGCTTGGACACTGTAGTCGTCAGAAGTTAATATTAAGACAAAATTAAATAGAATCTGGCACAAATAACCCACTGTTACGTTGCTTACTCCTTTGTCAGAGTTGTCTCTCTTTCATGCATTTGGAAGACATAATCTACTTTGACACTTTGTTTTAGGTCAGTTCTATAGAATTCCGAAAGCCAGTGTTTAAATATTGAGCATATTAAGGAACATAGGCTTGTTCATTTCATGTTTAAGCACTATTAACAACTGTTGCAATGGTAAATTCATAATTCTCTATTTAAGCATCCTGTTGCAAGCCATATTAAAACGTATGTGTATAAGACCATCAATAATGCAACAAACTGTTCTTTTTTCTTCCACTTATACTTTAACACAACATTTTTTGGCCCTAGATGGCCGTCTTCAGGTGTTTCAATATATGAAAACTGCTATACTGCATTAATATGTGCTAAAATCACATGCTGTAGTCCACTTAATATAATAAAATAAAATCCATTAAATTTTTCATTATTTTGGTGAAATTCTATTCCACCTCACAAGGGGTGTTGTCCATTTGTTTAGAACTGTGTGCTTCTCTCCAGGTGTTTTGCTGCAGCAGCTTGTTTTCTGTTCGTTAGCCCGTTGTTCCCTCCAGAAGCGTGTGGTGTTGTCTTCACAATACCACCACCACCACCACATGCTGCTAGAGGGAACAATGCCCAAGCAAGGGGCATATTACAGATTGCAGACATAACAGAACAACGGGCTAACGAACAGAAGGACAAGCTGCTGCAGCAAAACACCTGAAGAGAAGCACACAGTTCTAAACAAATGGATGACACCCCTTGTGAGGTGGAATAGAATTTCACCAAAATAATGAAAAATTTAATGGATTTTATTTTATTATATTAAGTGGACTATATAGTGTGTGATTTTAGCGCAAATTAATGCAGTGTAGCAGTTTTAATATATTGAAACACCTGAAGATGGCCATCTAGGGCCAAAAAATGTCGTGTTAAAGTATAATTGGAAGAAAAAAGAACAGTTTGTTGCATTATTGATGGACTGTGTTATACAAAGATGTTTTAATATGGTAAATTCATAATAAGATTAATTTCTCCCTGGTTGCCAAACTGTCTTCAGTACTCATTTTAGGTCACATAATTATTATGAATTAATTTGTATTCCTAAACTCTCTTGTATAATTTAGAGTGTAAAAGTTAATGCTTTCCTGAAATTCACACAGCCTCCTTGAATGATGGTGCACTTATCAGTGTTCAGAGCATACAGTGAAATGTTGGTTTAGGAGGTTCGAAATTGAGTTCCTGTAATCGAAGTATGCCATTTTGCACCTGCCAGAGGTCAAGTGGTTGTCATGATTGAAAACAGTGGATATGAATCAGGTACAGTTATCTTCTAATGTGTGCCTGCAGATGTCATGTAACTGGCATAACACTTATGTTGAGTTCTTATATTATTACAGAAGTGCATTATCTAAATACTTGAAAATATATAGACATCTCAATACTGATGATATTTTCATTCAACAATAAAATATTTCAGATGTATAATATTTTGTGTATTTGACTAGATTTTGAACTTGATATTAATTTATATTGTGTGTATAATGGAAAACCTAAGAAGATGAAATAGAAAAATTATAGTGGAATCACCAGAGTGTCTCCTCGTGGTTCATGTGATACATGTTTTCTATAATGTGCTTTAAACAAAGCCCATACATAGAAGGTAAGTTTGGTTGAAAATAGCCTTAATTGTGTAAAAAGTCCTTAAATATATAAAATTCAAATTCAGAAAAATTGGAGAACATTTTAATATTATTGTTTGTATTGTATCTCCCCAGAGTTGGTTACATAGGAAGAACATAATGTAATTTTGAGAAAATGCAAGCAAGCACATGCATGACAGTTTTTTTTAAAGGTAAATGAATTTTTACAGTAAATAATAATTGTCATAACATTGGCACTATATATGTAATGTGTGGAACAGAATGTGAAACTTCCACTGCACAGAGTTTTGTTCCAACATGTTCTATATTTATACATTTCCACACACTATCCAACAGTGTGCAACTAGAATAAGGTCACCTGGTCATGGTTTTATTTATTTTTTCTTTTCATTTCTGTCTTCTGTTTTTATTTATTACTGTTGTTTTTATATAAATGATGTGATACTCATTACTTCTGGATTCATTTAAAACATTTCAGTAGCTTTACATAAGGTAATAACTTTGGTCAGTAAAACATTATTTAATTACATGACGTTTCATAGAGAACTCAGTGATATCACAGATAATGACAGCAGTCCTTGCAGAATTGCTCGAATAATAGCTGATATATAAAATAATGATTATTTTTGTGCTTTGCCTCTTGTTTAGCACAGGTATGATCAAACTGTGGTTTGGGAGTCACATGCAGCTCTTTGAAACATTAGTGTGGCTTGATAAAAAAGTAAGTCTGTTATCTATGAATGGATTAAATATAAGACATTTACTGTGTGGAAAGCATCTGCATAAACATCTATATCATGCCCCCTCCATTAACATTTAACATACCAAGATAATGAGTGGCCACTAATGGCAGGTGAACTATTTATTCATCTCTCTTCATGTCATTGGTGTATGCCATTGAGTTACACAATTTGGATAATTTTATGCTGTATCAGGTCTCGCTATTTTTCAAACAAATTGTCCAAAAACCACATTATTGTAGAATTATACAGTTGCTTCATATATCGTTCTTGAACAAGTATCATTAGCAGAAAATTTATAAATATTTGGAACAGTTCAAAGGGTGTGTAATAGCATGCAGTGTTTGGGGTTCCAACTCAGTTTTCAGATGTGTGAATGGCAGCCCCACACATCCGTTTCTGTTGTTTATGATCTGCCATATGCCATTCTCAAGTTCCTCTTCTTCCTTATGTCTGCTGCTTTCAGATGTAAATAAGAGCTGCTTATGATGTGGAAAATTTCCATATTCATCATCATTGAATATATCCTCTTCTGAATTTACATAAGACTTTTCTGTCACCACGTCACTGACATCCGCATTTTGATTGTCCAGAGACAGCTAACCACAGGTTGAGAACTACTGAGTACTTACACAGATTGTTGGTTCCTCTCCTTTATCAGGCCTCATTTCTCAGTAATCACTTACTGAATTCCAGTTTATTCCTTAAGTGCACTTACAGTTCAATATAATCATCAGCTTATTGTAGAGATCAGGCATCAATTCTTATAGTTTTTTTAGCAGGTTTGGGTTACAGAATGAAATAAAGAAGAGCTCTTTTGCAAACGAAATGTGTATGTGGGGTTGTGAAGACCTTAATCTGTTGCCAGGATGTCATTTGTGTGTGTAACCCTGTGAAAGGCAGCAGACCATGTTACACATTGTTTCTTGACAATTTTAGTCACCAGAAATTCCTTGACTGCAGTGCACATATATGGCTGTTAGGGATTGGTTGCAATATTTCTCTGACTCCAGAATCCTGACTTTTAGGCAGTATGTCACAGCATAAATAATTTGAATGCTTACAAATATATCATCACGTAGTAAGAAACAAATATATGAAGAAGCAAACTGAAGTGTTATGTAGACCATATCAAAAGTTGATCAACAGTGTGGGAGTTTGATGTGACAGGTTAACTAAGAATTTTTGCATTTGTAAGATGCTGGAGAAAAAATTCAAGTACAATGAGACAGTACATCAGCTATTCATAGACTTCAAGAAAGCCCATGATTCTGTTAGGAAGGAAGTATTGTACAGTATTCTCATAGAGTTTGGGGTACCATGAAACTAGTTAGGCTGACTAAAATGTGTTCAAATGAAGCTTATAGTAAAGTGTGTATAAGTAAATATTTGTCTGATATGTTACCTATCCAAAATGGTTTAAAACAATTGCCTTAGCATATGGCAGTAAGGTCCAGGAAATCGAATCTGCATAATGAGGGGTTCTACTCTTCAACTAACATAATTAGATGGTCAGGTCAAGAAGGATGAGATGAGCAGGGCATGTAGCATAATTGGAGTGGACTGCATATAGAATTTTGGTGGGAAAGCCAGACTGAAAGAGACATAGGTGGGAGGATAATATTAAGATGGATCATAGAGAAATAGGATGGACTGGCTTGATCTGCCTCAGGATAAGGACCAGTGGAGGGCTTTCATGAACGTGGTAATGAAACTTCTGGTTCCTAAAATATTTTGAAATTCTTGAGTAACTTCACAACTGGATGCTTCTCACAAAGAGCTCAGCTCCGTAGAGTTTGTTATATCAAAAGTAATGAGCACACTTGTTTTTGTTAAAGCAAAGATATGTGTAAAATACTGATATTGCCTTAATTTACTGGAGATGTCCTGCTACTATTCCACGAAATGCACAGAATGATCCAGGGATTTCTGCCAGTGCTGCACAAGCTTGAATATGCCGCCATGGAAGAAGTCAGTTTCACAGTCATGTACACATGATTTTCTGAACTGCCTCGCTGTTTTATTAGTGGTAGTGCTTCAAATGATCTTCTAAGGGTCCAAACAGGCAGCAGTCTGAAAAGACCAAGTCCACGCTCTATATGGAGGATGGGAGAAGACCTCCAAGCCGAACTTTTCAGTATTCCTCGATGTCAGGCTTGCAAGTATGAAGGCATGCATTGTCATGTTTAAAAATGAGGTATATTTTCATCAGGCCCTTGTCATGAAATGCATGTTGCTGTTTCTGTGGCACCTGAAGACAGTAAAATCAACTAGTATGCACCCCTCAGTTTCCTAGAAAAGTGTGTTCATAATTTTTCTAGTAGTGTGTAAGGAAATCTTGGTGTCTTCAGGCCAGGCTTGTTTCAAGTTAAAATGGCCTTAAACTAGAGACCTAATGACAGAGCTCAGCTCCAGAGAGTTTGTTATATCAAAAAGTGATGAGCACACTTGTTTTTATTGAAGCAAGGTTATGTGTACAAAAACTGATATTTTCTTGAGTTACTGGAGATTTCCTGCCATTATTCCACGAAATGTACAGATTGATCCAGGCATTTCTGTCAGAGCTGCACAAGCTTACAAGCTTTTTGCTATACTGTAGGATGGGTACCAGCCAGCGATATTTTTAGATGCCTTGTTGACTTACTTGAACCTGCATTTTAGTTCCTTCAAGAAAAGGGAAGTGGTTTCTGTAATTTGAAAGTATTAAAAGGATACATGATTTTATTTTATTTTCTGTAGATTATTGAACAGTGGTGTCAGTAGCTATGCCACTGATTTCTTTAGAGGGAAGGAAAATCCTCTCCACATTTTGAATGTAATAAAAGGATACATGATCATATTTTCTTTTTTGAGTGTGCTCAGCCAGTATAGCTATGGGCTGGACAGCTGGGGTTAGATTCATAGCAAGGGCAAGAGACTTTTCTCTTCTTCATAGTGTCCAGACTGACTTCGGGGTCCATCCAACTTCTTGTCCAGTGGGTAATGGGACATTTTCCCTGGGCACAACCTTTATCTAGTGCTGAGGTCTAGAATGGTTGTGCTTTATGTTCACTCCCCAATATATTTTCTTGGCTTAATTGAGCACAGACACAACTTTACATTTATCTTATTTAATGATGTGTCAATAGCTGGACTGTGTAGTGTTGAATTGTAGAATGATGGATGAAGTCAAAAAGTTTTAGAAAGAACTGCTAATATTCAAATCGTGGTGGCATTTGCATGAAGGAAAACCACAAGGACACTTAGGATAGTCAGAGTCCCAGTAAAACTTCAAACCAGTCTCCTGCAAGATACAAGTAGAGCATTAGTGCTATAACAACTCATTCAGGTATGATGTTTTTACTCATTTTGCAACACTTACAGATCCTGAGCTTGACACTGCAGGGGAAGGATGACATTTCTAACTTTGCTGAGACAGTTTTCAGATCAAAAAAGTGCTTTTGCAAAAAACGTAATTTAAAGAAAGTTTCCTAATCTCAAGAACAGATTGAACACATTCCTTGCAGTTTGAATTCAAAATCAGAAACTTGTAGAATACAAAGACAAGTTACAAAGGTTACTTCATGAATTTAAAGTCATTTTGGTGATATGGTCAATAATGAATTTCCGAGTAGATAATGAAAAGTTCAGCCCAGTGTGACATACGAGTTTACAGCACTTCAATCCTCATTCACCTTACATGTTTCGATTCAAAAGAATCATCTTCAGAGGTGCACCACTACGATAAGGAAACACTGTCACATAAGATATTTTAACGATATGCACTTTAGATATGACTAATGCTCTCTATATAAATTTTGTTATCATGGTTGGTTTCGATGTTTGTCTTAGGCACTCACAATGGCGCTGAAGTGTAGATTTGCTGGTTATTCTGACTGGGGTTTTCCACTGCACGCAATATTGTGTTCACTTTTCCATACAGTAGACTCTCAATATATTTAAACTTGTATTAAAATTTCCATGTAAAAAATTAGTTATTATATTAAAATATCTTGAGCCAACATTGGGTCATGTTGTTTTCCTCCTGATGGTGGGAGATGTTTA